TGCTAACATCTCGCAAGACCAACAAGGCACCGCGGTGAACGAGAGCGCATTTAGAGCCGCACGAAGCATCGCAGAACTACAGGCGGCCTGCGGCGGAAAGCTGATGTCATCACCCAATGGGGATTTCCTCTTCTGTTCGGCATGCGCAAAACAAACTGATTTGAGTGAAGGAAAGGTCCAAAGTTCGGTCGGCATTTTCTCCTATGATTGTTCGAAATCATCCTTCGCCTTTGCCGAAAGTCTCAGCGTATCCTTCAGGGCCATGAAAGACACCGTCAAACGTCACTTTTCAAGCGAAAGACACGCCAAAGCTGAGCAGGCAAAAGCACGGAAGGATGAGCAGACAACAGCAAGGACGAAGGAGGCGGGTAGTGTTGCTCTTCGAGTGCTCAGGACAGCCTACTATGTCCTCAGCAGGTCACTTTCTCAATCCGCTTTCGAGGAACTCGTCGTCCTACAGCACATCAACGGCGTCAACATGGGCAACATCAACCACTCGAAGGCGTTCATGGCCCAGGCTCGTGATACCTTCCACCATCAGGCACTCACAAGTCTTGCTGAGCACGTCAAAAAACAGCCATGTGTCGCATTATCAGCTGACAAGGCTACCGTCAACAAGAGAACAATGGACATCACCGCCATCACCACGGTGGTGCCCGAGGCTCCCGTGGGCAGCATGATCCAAAGTTTTGTTGTGGGAGCACCCGTGGTGAAGGAGCGTGACGGCGACGGCCATGCCCAGCAGCTTCGCGGCACGATTGCCTCACTCGGGATCACCCGGACAGAGCAGCTCTCGGCCTTCGCAGCGGACGGTCAAGTGCACCATAATAACGTTCCGACAAAGCTCCTGGAGGCAATGAGTGTCGGCTCTGCATCTCCAGCATGTGTGCCACGCGTCTGGGACGCGGCGCACCTGATAAACCTGGCCGAACAGAACGCCCGCAACGCGCCCTCCTGCAAGTGGGTAGGCGAGACTGTTGGAGCAGTCACTCGGATTACGAAGCGGTTCGCTATTGGTGCCGGACTGGAACGGCTTCTCAACGACCTAGGCTCCCGGACTTTAAGACCAAGGGTCTGGTCAGAAACCAGATTTGCTCCGTATGCGGCTGACGTCCTTCGTACGTTTGCCACAAACGTCCCAGCGATGACGTACGCCCTGCAGCAACAGATCGAGACTGAAACGAGGCGAAACGTCATCAGCGAGCTGCAAGAAGAGCTAAAAACGGTGAAAGGTGAGATATACTATTACTTTCTCATTGCTTGGATTTTGCAATCGCATTTAAGAAAGGTGTCTAATGCTTAATCAGCTTGTACCACACTACACCGTATGTTTTGCTGACACTGTGAGCCACAGTCATTTGCAGTGCAGCTAAAATAAGTGGCGCCACCTAGGTGGCAGTCAGTGGACGTCGTCGCGTCGTATTTTTAGGTCCTATCTCGTCTCGAATCGGGGCGCCGCCTATTGGCGATAGGTATTTTTATCGGCTGGCTGATCGGAACGAACCAGCACAGCGTTGCTGTAAAAAAAAACTGACTGCAATAATACTGTGCGTTTAACGTCAGAGACGCTCACTCAATTTGCAATAAAATTTAAAGGTCAGGCATTGGTAAAGCCTGCTGTGCACGTGCAACAATGTGAGAGGGATGAGTATTTAAAAACAAGTTGTTTTAAGCGCAATTTCCTTTTTACAGATGGAGCATTCCTCGCCCGACTGGATGCACTGCTGGATATATACCGAGTGGTGGCGGAGGGAAGTCGGTCTCTCCAGCAGGTGCAAAGCTTGCCATGGGAGACCATGAAGGACTTCGGCAAGACCATCGCTACACTCAAGAAGATGGCAAACACACTGGAAAGCCGAAGAAACCCGTCAATTGCTGAAATGCACGACTTGGCTGAAATTGACGTCATCTGGCCCACCCTATCCAAGAGGGAGCCTCTGGATCAGAAAACGGTATGTGGACTGCTATAAATGCACATATTTCTATAAAGCAATGATGATAGAGATGATAATATAAAACATTAGCTTCCTAATAAGAGAATAAAATCAGAATGAACATCATATATGTTGAACGTCCAGTCCTTAAAAATAAAGTAGGCAAATCTTGTATATTACTGAACAGATAATATACAAAGCTATATCACGAATTTAAAAAAAAAAAACAATGTGTTTTACAACTTTTAAAGTAAGTTGAAAAACATTCGGTCATTGTTGAAAACTGATTAATTAGAATTATTTTCCATTTGGTTACAGTGCAAGGACGCTGCAGCCTTCAGCCGTTCCTTGGCTGCGGAGCTGCGACACAGAAGAGGTGGTCTGAGCGCCACGGGCTCCCGCATGAACACCGACAACCAGCGTATCATGGACTCAATGATCGACATCATGGCCGTGGCTGACCTGCAGCGCATCCGAGACAGCACTCACGGTACTGTTGACGAAGCGGCAGGAGCCATCGGCCGCCTAGTCGCTCGTCGTCTGGTGCCACCGGCATGCCGTGTTCCCCGTGAGAGTGTGGTTGCAGCTCACAAACTGCTTCATGAGTCTCGCAGCACCACCAGCTGCAACCAGCAACTCCTGAAGCTGCTGTGGCAGAGTTGTGACACAGTGAGCAACCTGCGGCCATACGTGGACCTGGTTGTGCGGCTCTGGCTCATAAGCCCGGTGGAGTCCGTGGTTGAAAGCATGGCTAGCGTGGTACAGGAGGTGTTTGGCGTCCACCGCCAGCTGGACCACGCAAACGCCGCCCGTGAACTTGTCGTCCGATGGAACGGCCCGAGTTTGACCAGAGCAGATGACCTGATCCAGGCAGTGCAGAGATCAGGGAGGTTTAACTTTGTCAGACAAACGACAGGGCCCCACCAAACCGTAGCCGGTGCTGTGATCAGCCGGCATAAGAATGCACCGTCTGCAAAGGCATGCATTTATCAGTGATGCGTGTATGGAATGCACTCGTACACCTGATGATTTAAGAGGCTGAAATGTGGTATCGAACATTGATAACCATCTGACATGCTCTTTATGTAGTCAATGCATGTCATTAAGGGCACTTTAGTGTGCCTGTTAAGTTGCATATAAATTATGTAAGCGTTTATCAGCTGTCGGGGAGGGACCAAATTAACGCTATCGATGTTGGGAAGTGCCCTGACGTCTGATCTTTTCATTGAAAACAGTAATTGTAATTGTACGTTTCCTTTGTGAATGATTTATAGCAATTAGCAAGTATAGCCCATAGGGCCTTCGATAGCCTTTTGATTGTTTGAATGGAGGGGCGAAGGGCATAGTTTTGACTGTTGGAAACCCAATCAGGGCGAAGCCATTGCACTTTTGCGCTTTGAATGATGTGCAGATGTTTGAACAAGCAAAACCATCGTATTTGACAAGTATGTTCTGACCGCATATAAATGTTGAAGCTTTGAACAGTGTGAATACGAATAGGTTAAAGAATGTAATGCATCGTAAGAATTATGCTGAAGTGAATGCGGCATGCTACGGATCAGTTATGAAATTTAGCTGCATCTACAACAGTTAACTCTGTTTTTCGTCTGGAATATTACAGCGGCACTTTATTCCGCCACGCGTTTGGGACGGACGCGATTCTATCCCCTCCCCACCTCCGACCCTAATAAAACGGGGCAGCCGGGTAAACCGTCGAACGGCGGCACGGCACGGCTGATGCTATTGGGACACTCTCCATGACGTTAAGCCTGCCCGTCTTACAGGAGGAGGCTTAAAACGTTCAATTCAGTTTGAATTCGATGCAAAGCTCGTGGATGTCACGCTACGGGCATCTTGCTTTATATAAATTAAGCGCTTTTAAATTCAAATCATGTTTGAGCATAAGACAAGTTGAACTGCGAACGATTCGGCATACAATAATGGTCCTTGACATGTTGTTTTAAGTTATATAATATGTTTTCACATATGTCTTCCCACACATATTTGTCTTTTTATGACAGTTTATCCGAGCACATGCCGTATGTTTTTAGTAAATCCCAGGATTAGTTTAAGATACAAAATCAAGCCTCACACCTAATATGCCTTACACAAGTCAAAAGACGCAATTGCTTTAACCAAACACCTATAAAAACCTGTGTTCATTCAATTGAGCAAAAACTCAACTAGTACAAATAAACATAGCTTACTTTCGAACACAAGCTAAATAAGCTGAAGCGAAGTGTTACCGAATTGTACAAACCTGCATACTGGAAGCTAATGATCAGCCAGCGCAAACTGTATCTCCACTTGCAATGTAACAGAACTAACTTCCCGCACACTGCGCGACCGGACCAGCGACTGAAGAGACACGCTGCCCGTCCCTCGCCGCCCGTCTCCGGCAGTATCTCGGGCGCTATATGGCCTGGTCGGGGCCAGGGGCGTCCATCTGGAGAACTGGGCCCTCATTGAGTGTGGGAGAATTAATGACACGGCGCAGCGGCTTTATTGGGCCAGTGATTCCGAACTAGTGGTGCAAATTTCTCTTCCACGGATCAGCGTTGGTTTTCTTCCATTGAAACTGTAGGTAAATGATGCATTTCATCTCAGTTATTTCAGATATTCATGAAAAATGAACCGGTTTACCAAATCCCTCAAGTAACTTTGACTATACCTAATATATATATATATATATATATATATATATATATATATATATATATATATATATATATATATATATATATATATATATATATATATATATATATATATATATATATATATTTATATATATATATATATATATATATATATATATATATATATATATATATATATATATATATATTTGCATATTTCGGAAGCAGGTTTTCTTTTATGCATACATCGTTGAACACGACAGCATTCCTTGTGTTGTTGAGCTTCTTGGACTCATTTTCAAAGCGTCGTACTATACTTTTCTGCTCAGACGTTAAAGTAAATAGAAGTTGACCGAAGGAAGCAATGATTGTTAAAGTAAGAGCTGCAGCTAGGTATAAATGTTTTCCCATGTAGTTAAAATGAAACTTCTTTGTTGAATAATAGTCTATTTAAAGTAAAGCTTTCGATCAACGTTGATCATCATCAGTACAAAATTATAAACGATAGATGCCGCGCATGAATTGTCACAGTTATATACAAAATTGCAAATCACATCATTATGTTTTTAACTCGGCACCACGTTTCTGCAAAAGAAGTTTCGCATTTCGGCCTGAGGCGAACTAGATGAACGAAGATGAACAATAAAGCACATCATACTCGTATGTACACACAGTAAACCTATGTGTTAGTCATTTGTCTGTCAAAGAGAGGGATGTTCGTCAGGGTCTTTGTATGTGTGTTGATGATCGGGGATGTGTCTCGAATGATAATGGTCTCTGTGATGGCTAGTCGTCGTCTGTCGTTTTGTCGTGCCAGTATGGTGGTGTTTGCTGTCAGTAAGTCTCTGGTAAGTCGAATCCCGTGGTGCTCTGAAAGATGTGTTTTAGGTCCTCCGTCTTGTAAGTGCATTGTCAGTCGGCGGCTGAGTGATGTGGTCGTGTGTCCAACGTAGTATACGTTACGGGTTGCGCAGTCCCCGGTAGAACACTGAAAACGATATACTACGTTGGTCTGTTGTAGAGTTGTGGTTTGTTCCATGTTGTTCCGCATGATGAGTGAAGAGGTGCGAGGAGACTTATAGTATATTTTGAATCGTAAGCGATGGTCAGGCTGGGCCGGTGTCACGTTCTTCGAAATGATGTCTCGCATGGCCTTTTCGTCTTTTTTCCAGGATGGTGTGAGGGTGTTTCTGTAGTATATGTCGATGTTGCTACAGGGGTTGTGTCCTGTGTTTGAGTCGGTGTTGCATGCTGTCATGTACTTGTCAATCATGTCACGTGAAATGTCGTCGAAGTCACGGTTACTATAGCCATTGTTGACAAGCATCTGCCTCACTCGCTTCAGTTCACGATGAGCCACTTCCCACGTCGAACAAACTTTTAGGGCTCTCCTGACGTACGACCGAATCACACCGCGTCTATACGTATCAGTACAGTCCCCATTCGCATTCATACATCGTCCCATGTCACACACACACACACACACACACACAATGTTTATTAAGGAACCAAACATACATAAGAAATAAAGCATAATCAATGAAACATACAGTACAATAATTAACAACATAAGCGTGATAGCAGAGTGGTGCAAAAGCGCAATCGCTTGACTCGAGGCACCACTCTGAAACATAAGATAAAACATGTGAAACAACCGCCGCCGCCGCTGGCCAGTCGCTCATGAGCGGTAAATTTTGATGGTTCCAACAGCCGCCTAGCTCACGGGATCGCATGATGAAATTTTGAATAAATCAATTGATTACTTCGAAAATCTGCTTGTCTTAGTTAAAAAGGTTTGGAAGATGTATGCCATATCACGACTGCCCTCGCCACTCAAGCGATCTCCGTGAATTAGCATGTTGAATTTCCGGTCAGGTGAATAGTTTGCAAAATTCTCTCCGAGAATACGAGAAGCGTTATCGATTAGTTCTTTTCTTTGGGCATCATAATTTTGGCAGAATAGTACGTAGTGACGTACATCCTCTTTGAAATGACCACAAGAACATTCAGGCGTATCTGTTTTGTTTATTTGAAATAGATGTGAGTTTAAGCAAGACATATCAGTTCTTAATCGGGTATGTAAAATATTTCCGGTCTTAGAGCCAATTTTGTAGTAGTCTGGGGGTTTGGGCACCCCTAGTCGCTGAAGGATTTCTTTTTTGAAGGATGTTTGAGACAAGGATCTTAATGATTCTGGGAGGTGGTTCCATGTTTTAGCTGTTGATAGAAAGAATGAGGATTGGTAGGATGCGGTGCGGTGTGGTTGGATTGTGTGGTTGCTGCGATTTCGCAAGTCTCTTCCTGTCCTTTGTGAGCGGGTGTCCGGTATGATTGATCGGATATAGCTGGGTGTGTTTTGCATGCGGTTGTTGAGTGTGTGGTATAATGTTATTTTGTGTATCTTTCTTCTTGTTTTTAACTTGTCCCAGCCTAAATCTCTCAACAACTTGTCGGTCGGTGTTCTAAATAAGGTGCCAGTCACAAGACGAGCAGCTCTGTTTTGTAAAACTTCAAGTCTCTGTGCGTCCTGGAGCGTAATATGTCCGTCATAAACAGTGTCGTAAAAGTCAAAATGTGGTCTCGTGTATGTTTTGTAAATTTGATCTAAAATTTCCCTGGGGATGTACGGAGCAATGGAATACAATGGGTTCAGGGTTCTGTTTACCTTTTTGCAAATTTCATTGATATGCTGATGAAATCGTAAGTCTTTTGAAAAGGTCATTCCAAGATGAGCGTGATTTTCATGGATAGGTATTATATCGTCCCCAAATGTAAGAGCAGGTGGTGTGTTTTGCTGACTGCGTGAAAATGTCTGTTGTATTGTTTTGCTAATGTTGAAAGTTATCGCCCATTCTTCTCCGTATTTTTGTATTTCGTTAAGATCGTTTTGTAATGATGTTTGCGCTACATTCAAATTATGCTTTGTATGGGATGCATAAAGCGATACGTCGTCTGCGAAAAATAAAATGTCGTTTTGTGTCTTAGTAGAGAGGTTATTAAGGTAAATAAGTGCCAAGAGAGGACCCAACACCGAACCCTGTGGGCATCCAGCATTAATAATTTCCGTTTTTGAATAAGTGTCGCCGATCTGGACTCGTTGTCGTCTGTCGGATAGGTATGATTTTAGCCAGTCATAAAGTGAGTCGATGATGCCAAATTCATGTCTACATTTGTACAAAAGTCCCTCGTGCCAGATTTTGTCGAAGTATTTTGAAATATCTAGGTAAATGGCAGTAAAATCGCTTCCTGAGTCCATTGCTTTGTATAAACTATGTGTCAAGTATAATAATTGCTGTTCTGCACTGTGGCCTCGCCGGTACCCACTCTGTTTATCTGTCAAGAGATTATGATGAGAAAGATGTGCATAAATATGTTTGTGAACTACTTTTTCAAAGACCTTGGACAAGGAAGATAGGAGACTTATAGGGCGGTAGTTTGTTGGTTCGGATGGGGAACCTTTGTTTTTAAATATTGGTTTGATATTAGCCTCTTTGAATTTGGAAGGATAAACGCCTAACGCTAGTGATTTGTTATATAGCTTCGACAAAGGAGACGCAATTAAGATAGCGGTTAATTTTAAAAGCTTCACAGGGATGTTGTCTGGGCCAGTGGATTTGTTAGCATCTAGGGAATTTAGAATTTGGAGAACTTCTCTTTCAGATGTTGTAATTTTGCTTAGAGTGGGCACCGGCGTAGTAGCTCTTCTCCGGAGTGCTGTCTGCGAGAGCGTCCCATTGCTGTCAGTTTTAGTTTGTTTGGCGAAGAATTCGTTTAAAAGAGTAGCCTTTGTGTAGTTGTCAGTTAGTATTTCTCCGTCTTTTCCTTCAAATGGTGGGATGGTATCAATCTTTTTGCGTCCTGTTATTTCACGTAACGTCTGGTGATATTTGTAAGGGTCTCGTCTATGAGTTAAAAGCTTACGAACCTGTTTCTCTATATGCTGTCTCTTCATTTCCCTGTTTAATGATGTCACTACGTTCCTTTGATATTTCCAGCGATTCCAGTCGTAATTAGTGTTAGATCGTTTTGCTTGTTTAAAAAGTCTGTCGCGTTTCCTTATATTTTTGCTAAGTTCAGTTGACAGCCAAGGTTTTTGACAGGGTTTAATGTGAATAGTTTTACGAGGGATAGCTTTCTCAGCGGCATCTAGCAAAACATTAATGAATCTTTCGGTCGCCTCGTTTACGTCATGATCTAAAATGTCAAATGTTTGTCGGTTTCACATAGACATCTGTATCAAAGCCGTTGTCGTTAGCATGAATCATAAGGTCAAGGAAGGGTAATTTCTTGTTTACGTTGAGCTCAGTAGTGAAGGCAAGACCTGACTCAGTTTGGAGCATGTCTCTCAACATTTCCAGATCATCTGCACTGCGCACGTCTACAAAAATATCATCGACGTACCGGCGGTAGATAAAGGGCTTCGGTTCACATTCGTTCAGGACCTTACTTTCGATGTGGCACATAAATGCGTTGGCAAATAAGACACCGAGCGGTGAACCCATCGCTACGCCATCGACCTGGTGGTACATTTTGCCAGAGGGACATCTAAAGGGGACCTCGAGAGTGCACGCACGCAAAAGGGACTCTAGTATGTTTCTAGGTAACTTGGGTGCCGCGATACTGCTGTTGTACACATAATCAAGTATGATTGCGATAGTTCTTTTGACTGGTACGTTGGTAAACAGGCTGGTGACGTCAAGTGATGCTAGTATACCGTTGGGTTTGTTGGCTCGAAGAATGTCCACGAAGTCTTCAGTAGAGCGAACGGTGTGATCAGTCGGGATGTATGGCGAAATCAGTGCGTTTAGCCTCTTAGCCAGTTGGTAAGTCGGTGATGGAATCTGGGATATGATAGGCCGGATTGGTTTTCCCTCTTTGTGCGTTTTGACATTTCCATATAGGTAGCCCGGTCGGTACTCACCAATGATCTTACTGAAATGAACATCATCTACTTTTGCGTTTGCTGCGTCGATGAGCCGGTTCAGTTTCGATTTCAATGCTTCGGTTGGGTTTCGTCTGATTGGCTTGAACTTCGAGTTGTCGGAGAGAACGTCGTCAATCTTGCTGAGGTAGTCTTCTTTATCCAAGATCACGTAGGTTGCACTCTTGTCGGCTCTTCTGATGACAATAGAGTCGTTGTTACGGAGTTCGCGTGCTGCATTCCGGAGGGCAGGTGTGAGAACACCTCGGCTAGATCGGTGTCTTTGTTTCGTTGATTCCGCTTGGAGGTCACTCTGAAGGTCAGAATTCAGGTGAACCTTTCCTTCATCTTTGAGCTTGCATAAGTCCTCAAAAAGTATTGCAATCTCGGTTTTCTTTTTGACTGCGTCATACTTGGGAAAGTGATGGCAGTTTATTCCCAAATTAAGGAATTCTTCTTGGTCGGGTGTCAGTGTGTGTGAAGAAAGGTTCACAAACCACTGACCTTTTTCGGGGACAACTACATCTCCCTTGTAGAGATGTGACAGCTTCTTCAGAACACGACTTCTAGCTAATTCGTCATGGTCGTGTAGGATTGCGAAAAGTGATTCATCTAGTCTTTCTTTCAGTTCTTGGTTAACCTCTAAGGAATCATAATCTGCTTTATATCTGGCAACGTTTTCAATCTGTTTTGTCAGTAGCTCCTTCTTGCGTGACAGTTGTTCAGTTGTCAAACGTCTTCGAAAATCGGTCACAAAATCCTCATGCTGCACTGCTCGGTCGTGGATATTTACATTTGCATATTTCGGAAGCAGGTTTTCTTTTATGCATACATCGTTGAACACGACAGCATTCCTTGTGTTGTTGAGCTTCTTGGACTCATTTTCAAAGCGTCGTACTATACTTTTCTGCTCAGACGTTAAAGTAAATAGAAGTTGACCGAAGGAAGCAATGATTGTTAAAGTAAGAGCTGCAGCTAGGTATAAATGTTTTCCCATGTAGTTAAAATGAAACTTCTTTGTTGAATAATAGTCTATTTAAAGTAAAGCTTTCGATCAACGTTGATCATCATCAGTACAAAATTATAAACGATAGATGCCGCGCATGAATTGTCACAGTTATATACAAAATTGCAAATCACATCATTATGTTTTTAACTCGGCACCACGTTTCTGCAAAAGAAGTTTCGCATTTCGGCCTGAGGCGAACTAGATGAACGAAGATGAACAATAAAGCACATCATACTCGTATGTACACACAGTAAACCTATGTGTTAGTCATTTGTCTGTCAAAGAGAGGGATGTTCGTCAGGGTCTTTGTATGTGTGTTGATGATCGGGGATGTGTCTCGAATGATAATGGTCTCTGTGATGGCTAGTCGTCGTCTGTCGTTTTGTCGTGCCAGTATGGTGGTGTTTGCTGTCAGTAAGTCTCTGGTAAGTCGAATCCCGTGGTGCTCTGAAAGATGTGTTTTAGGTCCTCCGTCTTGTAAGTGCATTGTCAGTCGGCGGCTGAGTGATGTGGTCGTGTGTCCAACGTAGTATACGTTACGGGTTGCGCAGTCCCCGGTAGAACACTGAAAACGATATACTACGTTGGTCTGTTGTAGAGTTGTGGTTTGTTCCATGTTGTTCCGCATGATGAGTGAAGAGGTGCGAGGAGACTTATAGTATATTTTGAATCGTAAGCGATGGTCAGGCTGGGCCGGTGTCACGTTCTTCGAAATGATGTCTCGCATGGCCTTTTCGTCTTTTTTCCAGGATGGTGTGAGGGTGTTTCTGTAGTATATGTCGATGTTGCTACAGGGGTTGTGTCCTGTGTTTGAGTCGGTGTTGCATGCTGTCATGTACTTGTCAATCATGTCACGTGAAATGTCGTCGAAGTCACGGTTACTATAGCCATTGTTGACAAGCATCTGCCTCACTCGCTTCAGTTCACGATGAGCCACTTCCCACGTCGAACAAACTTTTAGGGCTCTCCTGACGTACGACCGAATCACACCGCGTCTATACGTATCAGTACAGTCCCCATTCGCATTCATACATCGTCCCATGTTTGTCGGTTTCACATAGACATCTGTATCAAAGCCGTTGTCGTTAGCATGAATCATAAGGTCAAGGAAGGGTAATTTCTTGTTTACGTTGAGCTCAGTAGTGAAGGCAAGACCTGACTCAGTTTGGAGCATGTCTCTCAACATTTCCAGATCATCTGCACTGCGCACGTCTACAAAAATATCATCGACGTACCGGCGGTAGATAAAGGGCTTCGGTTCACATTCGTTCAGGACCTTACTTTCGATGTGGCACATAAATGCGTTGGCAAATAAGACACCGAGCGGTGAACCCATCGCTACGCCATCGACCTGGTGGTACATTTTGCCAGAGGGACATCTAAAGGGGACCTCGAGAGTGCACGCACGCAAAAGGGACTCTAGTATGTTTCTAGGTAACTTGGGTGCCGCGATACTGCTGTTGTACACATAATCAAGTATGATTGCGATAGTTCTTTTGACTGGTACGTTGGTAAACAGGCTGGTGACGTCAAGTGATGCTAGTATACCGTTGGGTTTGTTGGCTCGAAGAATGTCCACGAAGTCTTCAGTAGAGCGAACGGTGTGATCAGTCGGGATGTATGGCGAAATCAGTGCGTTTAGCCTCTTAGCCAGTTGGTAAGTCGGTGATGGAATCTGGGATATGATAGGCCGGATTGGTTTTCCCTCTTTGTGCGTTTTGACATTTCCATATAGGTAGCCCGGTCGGTACTCACCAATGATCTTACTGAAATGAACATCATCTACTTTTGCGTTTGCTGCGTCGATGAGCCGGTTCAGTTTCGATTTCAATGCTTCGGTTGGGTTTCGTCTGATTGGCTTGAACTTCGAGTTGTCGGAGAGAACGTCGTCAATCTTGCTGAGGTAGTCTTCTTTATCCAAGATCACGTAGGTTGCACTCTTGTCGGCTCTTCTGATGACAATAGAGTCGTTGTTACGGAGTTCGCGTGCTGCATTCCGGAGGGCAGGTGTGAGAACACCTCGGCTAGATCGGTGTCTTTGTTTCGTTGATTCCGCTTGGAGGTCACTCTGAAGGTCAGAATTCAGGTGAACCTTTCCTTCATCTTTGAGCTTGCATAAGTCCTCAAAAAGTATTGCAATCTCGGTTTTCTTTTTGACTGCGTCATACTTGGGAAAGTGATGGCAGTTTATTCCCAAATTAAGGAATTCTTCTTGGTCGGGTGTCAGTGTGTGTGAAGAAAGGTTCACAAACCACTGACCTTTTTCGGGGACAACTACATCTCCCTTGTAGAGATGTGACAGCTTCTTCAGAACACGACTTCTAGCTAATTCGTCATGGTCGTGTAGGATTGCGAAAAGTGATTCATCTAGTCTTTCTTTCAGTTCTTGGTTAACCTCTAAGGAATCATAATCTGCTTTATATCTGGCAACGTTTTCAATCTGTTTTGTCAGTAGCTCCTTCTTGCGTGACAGTTGTTCAGTTGTCAAACGTCTTCGAAAATCGGTCACAAAATCCTCATGCTGCACTGCTCGGTCGTGGATATTTACATTTGCATATTTCGGAAGCAGGTTTTCTTTTATGCATACATATATATATATATATATATATATATATATATATATATATATATATATATATATATATATATATATATATGAACCTTATATCAATAAAACTCAGCGCGACAGCTTCGGACCTCGTAGGTGACAGCTTTGGTGTTTTTTTCACCTCTGTCCTGGATTTCCACGCCCTGCTGGGGGGGTGTTTGAACACCCCCCCCCCTTCTAACTCGGCTCCTGGGCCACGTAGCGATACGCGGAAGGCGGCGTTCGAAAGAGCGTCAAAAATAATGAGGAAATCACTTCGGTCAATTTTTTGGTCAGGTCAAAGGTCAAGTCACCAGAGGTCATTGAAGGCAAAATTTCGCCGATTTCCAGGTCGAATGTCGACAATTTCCAAGAAGCCAACGCATAACTCGGGAACCAATAGAGCTACAGCGCCGCGGAAAAGCGCATTCGATAGCCCTATTAACGCCCTTTCTGAGCAATTCTCTCAGATTTGACCTAACGTCAACGGTTTTGCCTGCAGGGGGCAAAAACTGCAAAAATAGCCGATTTTTTCGGAAACAGTTTTTCTGCAATAACTTTTGACCCAAGCCTTGTACGAGCTTACTTTTACCGGCATCGTGTTCCTCTCGTCAAGACGCATCGAATGAACTATAACTTGACCTTGAAAGGTCAACTTGAAAATTTGACCTCAGGTCAAGGTCATGACCTGACCGGAAAGGGTCATGTTGCATATCAGTCGATCCGTATCGTCGAGCTGAACACATCTAAGGCGTTTTCATCGCTCTAGCATGCCTCTATCAAAAGTTATTTGCGAAAAACTGTTAGATACCATTCGTGACCTAAGATGACCTCAGGGCATAAACAGGGGTCACGCACACCATTTTCATGTTCAGTGTGTCTAAAACACTTGTAATTCAGTGTTTGGGAGTGTTTATAATGTCTTTCGTCCAAAAGAGGCGCATTTCAATTTTCTCCCATTGACTTATAATGGGGAGGTCGCAAAATTGACCTGACCTTAGGTCATCGATATCAAAATTCTGAGATATACATTTTGTACATGCTATGGCTCTTAGCGATCGCTGAAAGTTTCAAAGCGATCGGTCACTCGGTGTAGCTATGACAGACATTGAAACTTTTTATGAGGTGAGGTCACTTCAAGTGACCTGGTGACCTGACCTTGAATGACCTTGGTCTGAAATTTTCACAACATGTGTAGAATTGATGTATGATAAGGTGTACCAAAAACGGCGGCGCTCCGCGCCGCCGTTTTTGAGATATTCGCGAAAAACCACAAGGGGGGGGTGTTCAAACACCCCCCAGCAGGGCGCGGGTAATTTTATTACAGTTAATTTAACAATTATTATAATTAACTTTAGGGCTGAAAAGTACTGGGCTTAAACCGGGCTACGATTTAGCTGTGTTCTCTCTTTTGCAGGTCCCCAGAGGTCCGGCGGAGAGAGAGCATGGGTAAGTCCAACAATTCCACCCCAACAACTACCCACTCATTCCATAGACATTAGACAGGTGACCCGGGGCCGAACCGACCCTTCGCTCTAATCCCGTGAACGGCGCACGTGAGTCACGCCAGCGATCACGGCCAGAATAGGACGGGTTTATTTGTTCCCCGCGCCGGAGTCGTGTTGATAAGCCGGCGGCCGGCCGCCATTCCGGTGACGAAAGCGCGTGATATAGTCGCAGGGCCACCACTCCCTGAGCGCAGGAGGCGCCCACCCGCCATCGCCAAACATTTACCCGGCCAGCACTTTTACAGACGGCACCAGGGGTGAACAGATGGGTCCGCTGACTCAACCGGTAGCGATTTGGTCAGTGGTGAGAAGTAACGCGTCTTCTGGGATCAGATTTATAAAATATGGTCTTTTTAATTAATTGTATTTCATATAAATGCTGGATAAATACCTGAATCTGAAAGATGTGTTGTCCGTGATAAAAATAAAACTTATAAAGGTATTTCGGAGCCTGCGATCATCTTGCCTATTTTGCATTCCGTCTTTTTTATATCCAATATTATTGCTGCGGCTTTCAGTTCCTGAAAATATGCAACGCAATTTTTGAATTTATCTAGATAAATAAAGAAGAAGACTACATCATAATCGATATCCCATCCCAAACATGCTATCGCAGGGGAATGTTTCAATGTTTGGGAAAGCTATTTAATTTGCTATTCAATGTTTGGGAAAGCTGAGGCTATCCCAAACATTGAAACAAAATACGTGTTTGAAGAACTGTGGTGGTTTTGCCTGACGCATTCCGTCAACCCTCCCGTGTTCTATCCCGACTTAGCTCATAAGCCAACTACCATGATTCGTCGTAAGAAGTGCGTTGATCGTGGTTTTTCTGTATGTTTTTGTTATTTGTAAGCTACGAGGAAAGTGACGAGTGGATCTAAAACATCGTGTTTGGTGGCTTAGCTCGTGTTCAGTTTCAGTCTGCCGGCTGTTTCCGGAGACGGCTCTAAAGCCAACGAGAGCACGCTTTATAACTAATCCTCAGGAATGCTTGGAAGAAGTAAACAAATTGGGATTCTCTTCTTAGGATACGCAGTAGCGATCCATTTTTGTAGCTCATTTTACCAGGATCCTGCTGGTCCGTGATACCTCTGGAAGTCTGATTTGACCTGGACTGTCTCTGGCGGGGTCCGAGCTGACCAGAACGCTCTGCTGGGGGTCCGAGCTGGCTCGGCTGGCGATGTTACAACGCGCCGTTGGCCGCTACCTCCGTCTGGGAGAGGGTTGGGTCATGCGGCCAGCTGATCCCGACACGACGGCCAAAACTCGCCCCTCCCTCCCCCGCCGCCCACATGGCCGGCGGCTATTTATACCCCGCGAATATCGACTCGGTCCGCGCGGTCACCTCTGCCCGACACCATCTGCAACGGCGACCTGGGAGGGCCATCAGAGATCCCCGAACTGATGGCGCGGTTAGAGGAGCTCGACCCAGGTGCGTCTGAGGCCAGCCACGCGGCCGGAAACGCTCCATCACCACGTGTGCCGTGCCGCGCCGCGGCGCGAGCCGGCCGATGCGACGACTTCAGCGGCGGATCAGACGGCTCGCGCCACGTGGACGACAGCTGCAAGCAGTCCGCCGCGCCGCGACGCGATGCGGAATGCTGCTGAACAGTGCTAACTGGCCGTGTCGCGGTTTTCGTGGACGGCGGCCAGCGGTGGTCGAGACGGCGTGCCGGCGGTCGGGGGTGTTCCTCCATCGGTCTGGGTCCTCGCTGTCCGCGGGGGGTCGGCAGCGCGGCCGGCATGCAACCGGCCGGCATTGTTGAGCGATGCGTCGGCTGTTGGCTGGCGGCCAGGGTGCCTGGCCTGTCCGGAGGGCTGGCGGGCCGGGATGTGATGGGGTTGGGCTGGGGAGCGCCGTCGGACAATGCGGCGCACTTAGCTGCGGGCGGCGCCGATTGTCGGCAGACGGCAGCAGGCGGCCACATCGACACGCCGCCTGCACCCGCGGCATGTTTTCAAACAACAGGCCGGCCTGCACAAACCCTGTCTGATAGCCTAATGCTTTACGGACGAGCGACAGGCGGTCTCCGGTGCCGGCTGTCCACGGATGGCGCGCCACTCCACTCGGGGTGGTGGCGTTTTTGTTGAAGTTAAAAAACCGATCGTATACGATCGTTTTTACCCTCTCTAAAAATAGTCTAAAAAAAGTATGTGGAGGCAATCTAGTACGTTGGCCTCTGAGAGATGACAGAAGAGTCCTGAAATGACAGCGTTAGTTCAGCTGTAAAAACTAACGCCGAAATCCGTTACTTCACTGCGAGCCTTTCAGACCCCCGAACGAATCCAGGGAATCACATCTGACGGGCGTGAGAGCGAGCCACAGGGCAGATCACTCATGGTCATGCCTCTGACTGAGAAGCCACCAGGGCCGCCCATGTCTGTCCGGTCCGGCTCTCCCCGTCTGCTCGGTCCGGCTCTCCCCGTCTGTTCGGTCCGGGTCTCCCCGTCTGTTCGGTCCGGGTCTCCCCGTCTGCTCGGCTCCCCGGTGCCAGGAGTTGGCGATCGCGGCGGTCCTTGGCGGCGCCTCTGTCTGCCTGTCGCCGGGCGGTGCGGGGGCCGGGGCGGCAGACAGAATGATGGACCATTCCGACGCTCGCCATGTCCTGATTAGAGCACATTCCTGAGCGGGGGTGGCGACGCGTGCCACGCCTCTGCCAGTGTCTAGCCCACAGTGTCTGTCTGTCGCCCCACAGTGCGGCTGGTCACGAGTGCGTCCCTTTCTGCGCTGACTGGGCACCGGCCAGACGATCAGCTGATGCCGTCTCAGTTGGCTGCCGTCAGCCCGTCTCAACTCAGCTGAGGGCGGGCTCGGTCAGCTGGTTGTCCGGTGAGCTGGAGCTTTAACCAGTGACGTCTGTCCTAGACGGTGAACTGCCAACACGTGCTGCCAAAGTGGGGTGATCGGTGCTGCAGTGTTTTGTGTTTTGTGCTCGGCCGCCTCCATTTGAACGGGTGAGTGTTCCGTTTTACAGAAATTGATCCCGGAACGATGCCCTTTGTGGTTACACTCCATCCCAAGTGCCACCATTTGTTGAACCTTCGGAACTGCGCCGAGCACAAAAGCTTTCAGTGCGGTACAAAACGTTTCATCAGAGCAGTTTCTCGGTGAGCGGTCCGTTTATCGCTGGGTGACGCGCCACACACACCGTTTTGCACTCGGGCGTGTTTCGTCGCGGTGTTTCACGCACAGCTATCGAGATGGTGGAAGCAGCCAAACGGCGTCCACTGCCGGGTAAATATTGCTGCAACCGCGTGATTAATGCGCGATTTTAGTCGGTTTTTGCAGCCGCGTTGATGGCGGCGCGGTCTGTGAGCAGAACCCGGCCGCGCCGCCGTCACCCACCCCGGTGGAGGCGCGGTGCGGGGTGGGGTGGAGCGAATTGGGGCTGAGATTGGCGGCGCGGCGGCTGCCCTGAACTCCTCGCAGCCGCTCAGTCACCCCGCAACGCGCACTTGTCCTCGTCCATTGCCTGTCGTTGTTTCTGGCCGACCAGAGGCGCCGCTTTTAGCGCGGCGGCTTCTGTGCGATGTGCGGTGAAACGGTACGAGGCGGGTGCGGGTGTTGGCTCCCCCGCTCTCCTGCAACCCCGCGGGGGTCGTGTTTTGTGCACGGATTGCGTCCGATCAGACGTTGCAGCGGGGGTGGCCTTGGAGCCCTGCGTGAGATGCGTGTCGGCCGCCGCCGAGTGACAGGTCGCGCCGGGGCCCGGCAGCTGTTCCGGCGCTCTGACGCCTCGTGACATCACCATCAATTAAACGGCCGCCGCGCAACGGACATCGGGCCGCGCGGTGACGAAAACGACGCAGAGGTGGCGATTGCTGTGGCCGCGCCGCGCCGGCCGGCGTTCAAGGTGCCCCCGGGCCGCCGCCGGGTGATGTTGTGTGGGTGCAGGGTCGAGCCAGCTGCACTGAGAGCCGTGTTCGGCAGTCTGAAGCGTGCCAAGTACACGGGTCGGGCGCCGCCGGCCGCGCCTCGCCTGCGAGGGAACCCGATCTCCCAGAGGGTTACACAACGGAGGACCGTGTTTTACGCAGGGGTGGGCACGGGTCAGAGGTGCTGATTATTGCGGAATTGTATACATGGGGTTCGGTACATTGTTTTGTACAAGTGCCCTTAGTTGCTGGATATGTTTAAAACAAGAAAGCTGAATTGATATTGGTTGTCTTACCTAAGGAAATGTCAAAAAGTAAACTGATGGCTATGCATGTTAAGTTTTAATAAACGTTCGCTAAACTATCAGGACTAAAAGTAAATCTAGACAAAACGTCATGTCTACCAATAGGAACATTAACAACAGACCAACTATCTTCCAGGTGCCATATAAAGGTAGTAAAGGAACTCAAAATTCTTGGGATTTATTTTAGCAACAATACTGACAATATTACGCAGCGAAACTTGGAGGAAAAAATTCATAATATTAACAGAGATATCGAACAATGGAAAAGAAGAAATCTCACCCCAATAGGGAAAATATGCATAATTAAAGCCTTACTAATATCCAAGCTAGTACACATATTTATGGCACTGCCAAATCCCCCTGCCCAACAGATAAAAGAGATTGAAACCCTTCTTTACAACTTCATATGGTGTAACAAAGGGGATAAAATAAAACGCACCAAACTCATCCAAAGGTATGAACGCGATGGACTGAAGATGGTAGATGTTAAGGCATTCATCGATAGCATGAAACTAGCATGGCTGAAACGGTTAATGATATCTAAAGCTGAATGGACACATGTGGCGTACACACAGATACCCGATGCGACAAGATTGCTCACTTACGGGAAAGAAAAACTGTCTGTGGAAAAATCCAAGATAACTAACACTTTCTACAAAGATATCATAAACGCACTTATGAGACTGGCTACAGTTTATAAACCAACCGCAGAAGAAATTTTATCGGAAACAATCTGGTTCTCGGATCATACTAAATTTTC